TATTAATAGGTCGTGATCACTGCATAGTCATCATCATCATCATCAGAAAACCAACTACGAAACCAAATTAATGTTCACGATATAATCGTAAGTACAGGAAGCATCGTTTTACAATTAAAAATCGTTTATAACCGTATATAAATTTCATCAAGTCTTCGCTGCCTGAACCTTGGAAAGTCGCCCATGGGTATAAATGTGCATTGCGTATACACAATCCACGCAGAACGGTGCGCGCATGTGTTTTAACAGTATATTTATATTAATATACAAATGTAGGTATGGTGCATAATATGCGAGCGACCATAGGTCATGGATTCTTACAAGATCAGCAAAGCGTTATTTCAATTTCCTACTTTAGGAACAAAAACACCACACATACACACACACACACACACACACACAAACACACACGTACACGTACACGTTCACGTACACGTACACACACACGTACACACATACACTCACACATTCGCATAAACGCTATTTTACTTTCAACGAACGACACGGTTATTTTTCGTTCAACAACTTTAGACCGGCTGTCCAACGATTAATCAACTTATATTATAATGTATGCACACGTGCGTGTCGTATAGTGTATAGAAGAATAACGTCCGAGCCGGAAACACGATGTACTTGTCTTGCGTTTTGCTAGTGCATACTGAATATATATAGCTATAAAAAATGTATAGTGCATTTTATGATATAATATGGTTTTCTTTTTTGTTTGGACCGAATAAACGAGGTATGCGCGGATACGATGCCGCCGCAGCAGCAATAACAGTGACGGAGGCAATGCGAAAAGGTGCGCATGCACACATATTATTATACTCAAACGTTAAGATAATAAATATTATAAAAAAAATTCATAAATTTTATTTTTCACAGCATGCAATATACACAAATACGATTTATACGTGCATGGTAATTTTATATGCATACTACGAAAAGTAAAAACACGATACTATTTTATCGTTATCGAAAGGATAGAACGCACCACGGGCTAATATTATTGAACCATTACCTATTCATTGATCTATTGAAAATTCTTTTAATCGGAAACTTTTAGAGATTATTTTTTTAATCAATACAATTTGGGTTATTAAAACCTTAAAATCTTATACAAATAAATCATTAATCAAGTTTTTTTTTTTCGAGTTTAAAATGAATTTTTAATTTTTATAAAGTAATGTAAAATTATTTATAAAATATTTACAATTTTGACATATAATATTTCATCAATATTCTCAACGTTTTCTTTGTTTAATTAGTATTCGTATTTAATTGAATATTTTGAAAAGTAAATAACAAAATAAACAATAAAATTAGTGAAATGCCCAAAACTATTAATCTATAATATGATATACACCACATAACGAAGAGTTATTCAATGATAATATTATTATATAGTTCGATATGCCTGCGGAATACGTGACGCACTTTAAACGAGAATACAACCAAAGACGTAGACTTGTTCACGTGCTATATAAATGTATACGTCGAATGCCATTCGAACGTAGATTTTCCACACGTCGCCAATTCCGGATCGTTTCTCAACATTTTAAGTCTCGTACACAAGTCCTATTACTAAGGATGGGCAACTGGCGAACGAATCGCGTACCATTTAGATCTGGCCCGCGTTATATTTTGATATCCTAACACTGTGAGGTTTAACAGTAATAGTTTAGTTGTTGCTTACTAACCGGCTAGATTTTGAAGGTCTATAAACTGGCCCTTTCTGTGTAGTAAGTTAATGTATCATCCGTGCTATATACTATACGCCATCCGTGCAATGATGTTCCGGACAAAGTTGTAATGCGACCGTGCCACGGAGTGCGTACAATATGAGCTGCGGCCACATGTATTTTTAGGCGCCCGTCGCCGTCTCTTGCATGACGTGTGCGAACGGTAATAATAATAATTATACGGATCGGACGGTTGATGAGTCTACTGCCCCGCCCGGAGCGTGCGCACCACGAGACACACGGTAGCGGCGGTGGCGATGGCGGCTGTAGTTATTCTCAACGCGGCGAAAGAGGAGATTAGAATCGGAATTGATTTGTAATTTTTTTTTTTTGTTTTAATCTTGGTAAATTTATCGCCTTCTCTTGTCGACTTATCAATCAGTCCTGTGCATCACAATATAAGACGATGTAGGTATTCGATGGCTGCTCGTCGCTTTTCCGAGCCCGGCGACGTTCATCGTTCTAAAAACAACCCGTAGCCATAAAAAGTAATAGTCCGAAGATTTTCGAACGCGCTCGCGTAGTGTTGTCTATAGTCCTTCTTCCATAAATAAATACGCCGCAGCCGGGAACTCATTATCCAGCGTTGTCGTTTCGTATGCATGCCGCATCCCACCGTAATATCTACCTACAACATTGCAACTCGTTTCGATGTAGACTAATATACACTATTTAGGAACGGGGGACGGGAGAAGTGCGCACCGGATATGCTGGGAATATGATTTTAACTTCAAAACGCTGGAAGATACTATGTTATGTCACCGTCACTAACCAGTAACCCGGCCTAAACAAATAAGAATGGTCCGTAAAAATTGTGTTTCAACTTAAACATGTTTATAATATATAATATGGATATGTTTAAACATGTCCATAGCAAAGTTAAATGATCGAAATCCATCAACGATGATAGTGTTTGTGTTTGCATGTTTTGTGCATATATATATCTAAAACATACATCTATATATATAGTGTATACACTCGATATGGATATTTATGTACACATGTAATGAAAATGGCATGAATGATTTCACTCTTTGCCGAAGTAAACAAAAAGAAATGTATCGACAATACAATTTGTATAACGTGTGTTATTTTAAACTCAAGTACTGGCCAATCACTTAATATACTTAATACTTTTTAAGTTCATTTTTCTTCGTTAAATATCTTTCCTAAAATCCATACATACCACTACTATTGTATATTATGTATAATTATTAAATATTTAGTGAGCACAATATAATCGCTCATATAGCATAAATGTAATTTACGATTTCCATCAAAGTATAAACACACGAGAATATCATAATATCGTGTTTAGAGCTTCTCTGCATTTTTATACATGTTAGTGTGTTGAAAAAGAAGATATGTTTGTGTTACGATAATACCTATGTCACTCGCAAAAGAAAGGTTATCGTCATCTGTTTTTCAAAAACCTCCGGCCAAAGGATTAATTTTGTAATGTTGCTATAAGTGATTCATATCTCCATCACCTCAAACTATATTTCTTAGTTATATACGCACGCACAGACACACACACACACTTGATCAGGCATACCACGCGCTTCAGTCGTTTATTTTTATTATCATGATTATTATACTATTTTATTCAGACAACTCATTCGTTATCCGGTTGACACTAAGCGAAGGTATACTTCGGCGGAGGTGAACGAGTTAACTGCTGCTGCCGCGTCGTTCGTTTCAATGTTATACGAAAAAAAAGATTCGGTACGCGCGCACACACCATCGAAGCACATACGCGAACGACCGTCGGTGGGTTCTAATTTATGGAGATGTTTTTTCCATCCAATAAAAACGAGATAATATTGTTAATATTAATACTGTTTTTACAATGAATATCATATTGTGCAAACAACAAACCATCTTCAATACGCCAAGCTGCACCAATGGAATATAAATGACAAAAATGTGTTTATTACATTTCATATAGAGATAGGACACTATAATTAGAGATAATGTACTATTACTATTAACTTAGCATTGGCACAACATATACTAGTATTTATATAGGTATATAATATTATATTAACTTTTTCCTAAAAGATAAATCATACAAAATAACCTATATCTAAAAATCTGTATTGTATATATATATATATATATATATATATATATATATATATTTCCTAAATCAAAAACATAATTCTAAATGCAACAACACCATAAACATACTTTATAATGATAAAACATTCAACTGGTTCATTATGCCCGCATGCAATACCGTGAACACATAAATATATACGAAAAAAGAAATACTTTTATATGAATGTATGAAAATCGAAAAATATCCCTTTTAGTTCCTTAAAATTTCATCGATACAAGCACATATAAAAATCTCAACAGTGTAACTTCCCTCAAAATAAGACTAGCTATGTTGCTTCAGATTTTATCATATATTATTTTATTTAAAAATACAAGGATATTCGTTGGATCGATGGGTGACCAATTAATCATATGACAAAAATATGACTGCTCATCGAACGCTACTGGACATCCTTCAAACCAGTTAGTAGATAAATATCATCAGAGGAAGGATTTTTGATGTGATACCTAAATAAGATTCAGTACGAAGCAATATCACCGAATGATCTAGTCAGGCTACAACCGTTTTATAACTCATAACCAAAATAAAGATATTTTCTAATAATAATAATTATTGTTTAACTATAAAAGTATTTCGTCTATTATTTCCGATGGAAAATTGATTGCAATCGATATTTACAATATCATATATTTTCCATTGTTAAACATTTAAGAGGATTTGTGATCGGAAATTTTCGTTCCAAATTAGTTCAGAGATGAACTTCGTCCAGAATAAAATTAAGTTATCGCACCATATACTAGGAATTTGATGATGACCACTCCTGCACAAGCCAGGCGAATAATATATAATAAAATGACCTTGAGCTGAATGAATCAAACAGGTCGATGTTGCAGGACATTCAAAAACACCCGTGTATGTGTGTGTGTGTGTGTGTATCAAGTATAATATAATGATAAAACGTACAAGTACATCACGAGAGTCATCGTTTATATTAATGTTTTATTTTTCCTTTATTTTTTATTTTTGTTATAGCTTTTATGTATAAAGAGATTCATATTTTTACACATACGCCTCCGTCGTTGCCACAACCGCCACCTGTAGTTTGACCGTTGCAGTGGTTACAGTGGCATGCATGCTGGTGTGGTACGAATATATATTTGTTTAAAATCATACATAATATACAGTAATGAACTCACCATAAGCTCTTCTTTACACCGTCTCTCCTCTTCGAGTGACATTCGTTTTTCGTGTTTTTTGAAATACTTGCGTTTAGCGGCTTGCAAATTGAACCACGTGTAAGAGAACGCTTTGACATTTGGCAGCAACGCCTCTATGAACGGGTGGAATTCATCCTGCAAAAATTAAAATACTAATCAGCAACAATGATATAGTACCATATTACTATACACCGTTTTTTTTGGACTTTAAGTGAAAAACCTTCCCTTATGATCTATTAACATATTATACGATTCGCCCAGCTCTAGTCAAGCAACAGTCCTGAGCACGTGGGTCGATGGCAGGAGGAGCTGCCAATTCGCATTGCACCGCACTGGGTTAGTGGGAATAGCGCACGTCGTGATCCTCCGACACCCGGTGCCAACCAGACCGTTACAGTCTGCCAAACGTGCACACTACCGTGGTCGTGGTCGTCGACGTTGTCATTGCCATGACCCCGTTGGCCAAGACTTCTTATGCAATTGGCATAGTGTATCGGTGTGTGCAGTCTTACTGGAGGATACACGTCATATGTGTGCACTACGTACGTATACAAAGACACTATATAATATCGGAAACTGCCAAATTATTTCGACTTTCAAACGGGTTTCAGCCAACAGCAATAGTAAACAAACGCACGAGACTGTTGTTTACAGTAATTTATTGGAAATCATCCTGTGGACGAGTTCCTCGCGTTGGCAAACATTTTTTTCGCGCATTAAGTCCAACTTAAGCCTAAGTGGATCTGTAGATTTTTAAAATTTGTTAATAATCAACCGAACATCTCCTAATCTAATACCTACCGCATACATTTATTTATATATAAACATATATATGAAAATATTTAATAATCGAGCCGTATATTTGCAATAGAAACACGTTTGTCATTTAACTGCGCACGCACGGTAGTCTGTCAATCCGATTAACGACGCAGTATAATTATTAATCATAGTTCCGTGAGAAAAAAATCGCATAATAGGTCATCAGAGAATAACGCAATTGGCAAAACAATATGTCGTTTGGCAAAAAACACGTACAACATATTGAAATCGTATCGACGACATATTTTGAATTTAAATTCAGTAGTATAATATTCCGAGCAAATAATAATTATTTCAGTGGCATTTCTTGTATGGTTAATAAACAACTGTGTAAATGGTTAAATTCAACTTTTCTAAGACAGTTTAATATAAATTGTAATCTAATATAATACTAAAGTATGTTTAGTATTAAGAATATGTATATTGTATATATTGTGATATTATTAAAGAAGTTACATCTCAGTATTCACAGAGGAATACTTAATATAAAAATGAAATTATAAATTTCGATTCAAACTATGAAAAATAAGATAAAAGGATTATAACCACAATGGAAATTCTGACGGAAATTTATTTTAAAAACTGATAGAATAGAAATGTTTTAATTCAATTTTTCTAAATTTACATTTATTTAAAAATTTCGTTTTTATTATTTAATAACACTTCACCAAAGATATTCAGTTATAGTTATCAAGCTTATAATTTTTGTATCACAGTTATCAAGTTTTTTTTTTTTTTGTTAAGGAAATCTATATAATTTAAAACCATGAACATGTGCGTATACCTATATGCTTAATTTGAGATTTAATATCTTTAATATTCAGAGTCTCTCAAAAATATTTGAATCTTTTTTAGACAAGTATTTTAAATTATACACAGTCATTACATACCTATTATAAGAATTGTTGTAGTATTGAAAAAATACAAATTCGAATATTAATACTTATATTAAAATAATTAATGGAGAAAAAATAAAACACCATTAAGGTAGTACAATAAATTAAAAACTTGATTACATAAAAATCAAGCATTTCAACAGTCATAATGGAAAATACCGGGCAATAACAAAAAAGTAATCCCGCGTAGCTTGCCTACGACGACGACGTCCTGTTGGTCTTTCATCCTGGTGGTGGTTTTTAACGCAGTCTCCGAGCACATGCTAGTTGAAAATCACAAAAAAACACACGCACACTGCGTATAACAACTTACATGTGCGATGCGTTTGAAAATAATATTTTATACATATGAGTATGTATATATATTTATATATACATATATTGGTATTCTACACGTGTTAGAAGTTAAATGAAAGTCTGTCGCCTCGGTACACAGATATTTAAACCACTGTTGTATCTGTGTAAAAATAAGAACGAGTTTATGTTTATATATAAAAAAATATATAATTTTTCATAATTAACGCATACCGTTTCATGTGGCACATGCACGCAATTCTATATGGAGTCTATAACTGAGAAAATAATAAATCCAATGACCACATGTAATGAGACTTGCGAGGTAACCACGGCAACCGAAAATGTATATACACGTGTGAATGCGATATAAAATTTATAATTTCAAGATTCGGGAAAATATCTTATTATTGATTAATTTGTCTATTTATATGCATATTATATACAAATACGTTTGTTTATTTTTTAGTAGCTATGTTCTACAAAAGTTCAGTAAAGATAATGTCATATTTTCCTAAATCAAACAGAATATACATAAACATCTGTTTTTTTTATTTTATAAATAGAATACGTTTTTCACATAAAACTATCTTATTAATGTTTAATTGTATTATTAAATATATATTTTAGCAATGAATATAAAGTGTGTGAATAGTAAACATAAACTAATACAATCATTCAAGTGTTAAATTTAATTACTTTTTTGAACAACAAGTTCATAATAAATAAAGATATTTTAAATTAAAATCATAAAATTCATAAAGTAACAAAGGTAAATAAAATTTTATACACAACGAACAAATAAAGTTTTTAGGGATATTAACTGTTTTCTATTAAAGTTATCAACTTTATTATTGACTGTAAATGATAAAATATTGTAAAATAAGTATAATCAATTTAAAAAAAAAATAAAAAAAAATGTTGACTAACATAATATGTACATCGAGATTTCTAGGCACCTAATTGTATCTTACACTCGACTTCAAATTGGTCATAGCTTACTTCTTCACCATTCTTCTAAACTTAACCTAAACTCTTCCCCTATCTGTACACGACATCTCGATGAATCGATATGCGATTTTGATCACATATTTTTCAATTGCCCTTCTCTCATCAATAGTGGACAACTCTTTTTTTCTTTTCTTTCTTCTTTTAGCTATATCTCTACCGATTCTAACCTTTTTCTCAACTCTCGACTCATTCCAATAATTCATTCCCTTATACAGTTCATTCATACCGCTAGCTTTCTTATTTAAAGTTAATATGTAGTTCATTGTTGTTTGTAGATTTTATTAATTTTTTAATTTTTAAACATATCATCATATCGTAATCGCTTTGCTGTAATTATTTCTAATAAAAAAGCAAGTTAATTAAAAAAAAAAAAAATAAAATGTACATGAAAAATTTAACTTTTTTTCTTAAAACTACTTATTACGAATATACAAATATCAATGAAGATTCAATAAATTATTTAGTTTTTATTAAAAAAAAAAAAAAAAAAAAAAAAAAAAATGTCGTTTAAAGTATACAGCAATGACCCAAACCCACTCTTGACGATGCACAACAAATTAAATATACTATATATTAAAATAATACTCATATTCGTTTTCCCTACGCATGAAACAAAACAGCTTGAACGATGATTTTTTTTTCGTTCGGGGCACGATTAATGTTTTCGCATGAACGTATATTCTCGTGCGAATTCTTGAATATCAACGACCAAATACTAATTTGCCAATCTGTAAGAGATCCAACCTAACCAGTTTGGAGACCACGATCGGTAAACCGATTCTGCGGAATTTCTCTGCGCACGCGTACGCCGACAACGGTCCACCACGGCGTCAAAGTGACACATCGCGTTTCGTTCGTGTACCACCAGATCTCGTGAAACGATGATCGAAACGGAGCAGTGAAAAAACAAAACGCGATCAATTAAAACTCTCAACGGAAACGTAGTTTAGATTTTGATAAGTGTCACAAACCATTCAACTCTATAACGTGTATACTACAGGAATATATACTGAATATTGTACGCTCGGGCAAATTACACAGGGGTAGTGTGCGTATAATTGCGTGCATATACTACGAACGTAAAACCAAACGAATAAAAGCGAAAATATTAAACTGCTGCGGAGGCGGCCAAAATATACAGCGGTGGTAGCGCGTCTGCGAGTGGTTTGCTTCGCGTTTCGTTTCGGTCGTGCCGCAACGACAGCCCTAGTCTATATATAATATATAAATACACACGCACCGCGGTTCACATACGTTTCATATGCGATATGTACGTACGGTATACTTGGCTGGGTATTTTTGAACGGTTCTAACACGCTGCAGCAGACCACGATGAATCCGCTGGATGTCGCGCGCGCGCGCGCTATTTATAAAACAACCGACTGTGACGGTGTACGAAGCTTATCCGTCAGAGTTCTTGCATAACCACCGACCACATGGAATAAGGTCGACGACCTTGTTTTCTCCTCTCGTATATGTGGAGAATAAAAAAATAATAATAATAATAATAATAAAAAAACGTACACACGCACATACACCGACACATCGCGAGATATTATATGCATTTTACACGGGACACCCACATTCCCTGCGGAGATCACTATGCGACGGCTACGACGACGGCGACGACCCGGGTAACATGATACCGCGCTTGATCGTCCGAAGAATGCACTCATATTAAACTTATACGCATCGTGTACGTATAAGTATAATCTCCTCGCGCAAACTTCTAAAGTGCAATAAGGCTCGCTTGTACAGATAGTGTGATATAAATAATAAACAAAAAAAAAAAAAAAAAATTCAACGGAAAAATATTCTACTCGACCTTCAGCGATGGCGGCATATCACCCCACACCGGAATATTTTATAATCTGATTTAGTATATTATTATTATTATTATTTCCGTGTGTAAAATGCGCGCGTGAGCGCGACCGTTTAATATATACAAAACTTGTATAGTTGTCAGATATTATGTGTTGTGTACTTGTACGATTTTTTTACGCCGTATAGAACTAGCATCGGAAAGGAGAAATATATAAGTATACAAATCTACATATATATATTTATATATAAAAAACGTGAAAAAAAAATACGTATCGTCGATAAATGTCAAGG